CAAGGAATAAGCCTTTCCCACGGTCCCGTACTCGGACCCCCGTGCAGTTTCAGGCGGGGAAACCACGACACATCGACAGCTGGGGGGCTGTTAGTCTCATACACCCTTAATGTGTTTGAGCGTACCATGTGTCTTTAAGAATAACCAAGTCCAAAGCTAGACACTTCAGCGAACTGGCGGCTGCGTGGCAGATTGGAGCGCTACAGTGGCCTTTTGCATCACATAGTCATATTGCAGAGAGATCCTATAACATTATTGCAGGAACGATCGTACGCAACAGCGACAAAGAAGGGGTCATGGTGTCTGAGAGGGTCTACATGAACTCGCAATTACAGACTGCAAACGGAGGCAGAATTTTTTAGCGAAATATATTCTTCGGGGAACGCCGATGAGCTTATCATTTTTCGAGGGATATAACTTCGTTCAGATATAACGAAGAGCAGCAACCTACATAGTTTCGAAAAACCTAGTTTCTTTTGTCTGATGTGTATAGCAGCTTCGCTGCTGCTTAGCAATAGTACGGGGATCTACCTGATAAAGCCCACATCTCTATTCAGCAAGCTTAAGCTCATTAGACTTCCTGTACGACTCCTCCTTATGTGGCAAATAGGAACCGAAGCCCAGGTGATCAACAGCTCCTGGAATACACCATGTTCTCGACTTTCTTTGATTGAGAGTGATGTTTATAGGAAAGCGAGCCTATAAAAGAGCACTTACAGCCACCTTACGCATCTCTTAGGGTTTTGTGGGAACCATAGGCCTGAACTAGACTGTTCGCCCAGCTGCACCTTTCTAATATGTTGCATATTTCCAGCAGCCGCACTGTCGCAGAGCGCTTTGAGGCGACGCACAGAAGTAGACCGATGCTTGTTGAATCTCCTGGCAATGCTGAAAGTCCGCGAAAGCAGGAGCTGAGAGGCGAACTGAAGTAAGCATAACTTATTAGTTTGTTCTCTGACTTATTTAATTTATAACACCAGCACACAGCTGTGCTCTAATAATCCATCCTGGAAGTTACGTCGAACCGCGACCCTCAAGAAAGGCTTAGTTGAGCTGAACGTGAGCCGATATGCACTTTTGTCCCCTTGACTGTGCGTGTGGTCGAACAGCGCCATTAACCGCCACATCACTTCCTTCCGTGTTTCTCCATATAAAACTAAAATAAAGTGGCTAAAGACTGAAAAAACTTTCCCTCTCCGCTCACTTCTCCCGTACCAAGCAGCTTACGAACATCTCATCCAAGAAAAAACTTCCATTCCAAGCACACACACACTGCCTGTATATAGCATTCCCATTTATAGAGAGGCCGCAACCTGTGACGATTGTCACCGGAAAAGGATGTTACTGGGATTGGTTTTCTCGACTGTTGTGCCGGGTTCAAATGATCCTGCCTAGGAACATTGTCGTAATCGCAGTGCAGCAGTTGAACTGAATTCGGAAACCGGATGAACTCGCCTATTATCACAGATGCAGCCATAAACTACACTGCAAAACATACTGGGGAGGGGGCAAAAAAGACACTTCGACCGAGTCACATATCAGCAAAGTTTTCGCAGCGCGGACAGGGAGTTAGGTTCCTGAGCAAACAAATGTAATACCAATACCGAAAATACATTGAAAATCCCTCGTAGCATGAAGTGTTGATGGTGTATTCCTCAAGCGGCACATTACATGACTGCAGTTCACAGACTGTAGGGTGCAAAACCGAAAGCCTCGGTGCTACCTCTGGGGAGAAAGAAAATTGGAAAATCCAGTAATACCCTCGGTTTTGAGGCTGGGCAAAGGCAAGTGGCAGGATTGGTACGCTTGGTTGGACAGAATTCGGCGATCGCGAGCAGGCGGTGCGTGGTGCCTTTTCCGAGGGAGGCTTACTCTTATAGCGTCCTATCAAGCTGCAACATACCGACGCGGACACCCTCCGAGCTTGCCTGCTCACAAATGTCCGACCTATGCTAGTGCTCGTAATGCTTTATTTCCGGAGTAGAATGCAAAGGGATTGATATGAAGGCGGTGCTGCATGCATATACAGGGGGGGAGCAAAAAAAAGACACTTTGTCCGAGGCACATATCAGTAAAGAATACGCAACCCATAGAGTTGTGTATACGAGTACCAGGGCGGAAGATACCCAAGATGTTCCTCGATAAGCAGGAGCTGGCCCTCGCCCATCACCTTCATGTACACCAAAATATGAAGTCATCTCCAGTCGCAGCCTGACTGGAGAAGACCTTTGGAATTCATGTCACCTCCAAACAGCTGCGGAACTTCTTCTATGGAGTCACCCATGAATAGCTACCTGGAGACAGTACTCTCGATCTGGATGACCTCCAACATCGAGCAGCTCCGACAGCGTCGCTACGGTCTAGGACATCATCTTCACCGCAGTCGCCAAGGCGCGGGTTGATGGTATGGACCGGACGTACCTGGAATGGAAAGACCAATATTTTCTTCGTGGACCCCGGACTGAAGGTGAGCGCTGGCGGTTACATCGAGCAACTCAAAAAGAATATCCCTCTCTACTTCGAATGGCAGGGCGTTGAGTATCTGAAGAAGATGGAATATCTAAGCGTGTCACCTAACCTAAATCCCCTCAATTACCTGGTTCGGGCGGAGCTCAACAGGGTGGTCTACAGTGGCGGAGAAATCAACGATCTCGCTGAACTCAGTTACCGGATCACGGTCGCGTGGCAGAATCTCTCGATGGCGCTTGTCCAGAAGGCTGTGGTGGAGCATCATGATAGTCTTCTTCAACAAAATTCAATGAGTACTCGAAACACAATATTCATTGGTAAGCTTTCGCTGTGATAACAGCTTCTTCAGACCTCAAATAAAATACAGCAATAGAGCTGGTCTAAGTACTAACCAGACTGGAGCCTTTCTTAACAATGAAGTTGCTAAGGTCTGTAATACAATACTTTCAATGCCTACAACTGACAACAACTGCACTAAATACTAACGACCTACCCGAGCGACACCTCCAATGCAACTAAAAGTGACTAAGAATGCGACGCGCTGACAATTGCGAGGACATCCTTATCACGACCGCTATGCAATCAGCCTCATTGCCTCCATCAGCTCATCCCTGTTGTTTATTTCGGGGGATAACCGCTTGATAGCAATCGCTTCAAGTAACTTCCTTTCCAATGGGCTATCCTTCGAGCGGTGCAAAACCGTCACTTTCAGGCGGGGAGGTGCTTCATGTTGGTGAAACATCGTACGATGCCGCGAAAATCCACTCTGGGGGTAAGAGGAGGGATTTCCGCAAAGCTCGTATGTGTTCATCCATCCTTTTGTGTAAAGGTCGCATTGTTTCACCAACATATCTCTGATTGCATCCTTCGCATGTGACCAAGTAAACTGTCCCACGTAACTGGCAGATTTTATTTTCTGTACAGTATAGACAGTTACTTCGGCCACATTTCTCTTCATAGATCCTCGATGATGTCAACAAGCTTCTTAGATTTTCAGGTGGCCGGAATATCAGCTTGACTGGAAGGTGGGACGACTTGATGGTATGATTGACGTTCTTTGCTACTCTTTCGTTAACATATGGTAAAACCAATGGGATTCCTCCAGTAGCAAAGAAAGGTCGCCATGTTCTGGGTTCGTTCGTCGTGTATCCGTTCTCTTCCAAGATCCTCGCTATTTTCCGATTCACCTCTTCTGATTCCCTAGTGCATGTCCGCGCCTTCGTAGCGATAAGATTTCTTATCACGTTAGCCTTCATATAGAGTGGATGCGCACTTCGAGAATGCAGAAGGATATTCTTTGACATCGGTTTCTTGTACCATTCGATCTCCTTAGTGCCATGGTTTATTCGGACCTTCGTGTTGAGGAATGGAAGGAAGCCGCGTTCGTCTGGATGTTCCACCGTGAAACGTATGTTCGGGTCACATGAGTTCAAGTTTTGAAGCATCGTGCTCATGACATCGGCGGTAGAACAAACCACGAAGACATCGTCTATGTAGCGCTTGTAGAATATAATTCCAGTGATCAGAGATCTCCTTTCAATTCCTATCCAAATAGACGATGGCTAGTAGCGGCGAAATCCTCAATCCCATGGCAAGGCCTCGTTTCTGTGAATAGAACATGCTATCAAACTGGAAGATGTTACATTTCAAGGTTGCTAATAGAAGCTCGCGCAAATCTTCCTCCATCAATCCGAATGTATGCACTTCTTCATGATGTCTTCTTAGCAGTTCCATCACAGAATTTATAGCTTCATTACAGTCCACGTTGGTATACAAAGAAACCGCGTCGAAGCTCGCGTACGAAGCATCATCGGGTATCTCACATCGATCCAGAGCTGATATGAATTCTCCTGCGTTGACTAAATGAGCCGCAACATGTTGCAAAAGCGGCGACAGGAGCTTCGTGAGGAACCAGCTCACTCTATCCGAAGGGCCTCCACATGACGATATAATTGGTCTGACTTTGATTGAGTTCTCTTCGATGCGACGTAAGTCAACTTCTTCAGTGAA